TGTACGAATTATTATTATTATTATTTTTTTCGTTTTTCAACAACTTTTTTTTTTTTTTTTGAAAAAGTAAAAGAGAAAACTGTACATAAAAACATGTAATAATAATAATATATTGAAAAAGTTTTAAAAAATAAAAAAAACGTTGTATACTCTTGTTCTGTTGTCATTAGACTAAAATTTCTGTACCAAGTCTGATAGTGTTTTGGTCTGTGTAATTTATTATATAATTTTAGTACATGATAATACGTATTATACATGATATTATGAAACAAAAGAAAATATAATAATAATGTATATTATTGACGTACAAAAAAAAAAAAAAAAAAAAAAAGTGTTGTATTTTATTTGGTTTTTTTTTAAAAATTATTATTATTATAGACTAAATTTTACTGTACCGTGCGTACAACGTATACGTATATTTATGTATATACACACACACACACACACTCGCATTATGTAACTGTATGATAACACATCATAGTTAAGTGTATTTTATTACGGATACTTGTTAACAATAATCTCATTGTTGTTCCGCCGCCGCCGCCGCCGACGCCTCCGCAGCCGCAGCCGCAGCCGCAGCCGCCGTCGCCGTCGCCGTCGCCGTCGTCGCCGTCGTCTTGTGCGCCGCAGCAGCCGTCGTCCGTCAGTCCGCGGGTAAGTCGTCATGTCGCATTTTATTGTGTGGTGGTCGCCGGCGTATCGCAACCGCGCGAGTCAATTTCCCGCAACGATCGTTGCGACGCGCGGCAAGTCGCGCGCCGTGATGACCGCGTACGGGTCCGGCCGTTCCGAGGCAGTGGCGGCGGCGGTCGTACGCGCGCGCGACGTCTGCGTAAAAGAAAAAAAAAAAAAGAAAAAGAGAGACACGAGCGTGTTTTCTCGCTGGAAGAATTGTTCGCGCCCGGTGGAAAAAAAATTAACAATAATCGCCCCGCACGTAGTAAACTGCGGCGCGCACAATAGGCATGAGAATGACCGCAGTCGTCAGTCGTCGGCGCGCGCGCTACGTACGATGGGGGGGGGGGAGACGAGACCCTTACCGCCCTCCCACCCGCGGACTTTAACGTTTCGAAACGAAACCGCGTTTCGAGGACTTCCCGACGTTTGAATTCCGTCACGTCCATTCGCGCCGCGTCATGAAATACCGCGTGCCCGCGCCCAGGCGCCGTACTGTGCCGCGGCGCGCTAGGCCCGGCGACAATGCCCCGGGGACTGCGCCCGGAGGACCGCACGAACGCGGCGACGCGGTCGCTATCGGCGGTCGTTTCCTACGTCTCGCGTCGTCCGTCCCGATCACCTTCCGATCCGCGCGCGAAACCCTCGGACGACACGCGTACCCCGGCCGGAATCGTCGCGGCACCCGGCACGGCGCGAGACGCATCGGCCGCGGCGCCGGGACCTTGCCCCTAGACTTTTGAACGTTATTATTGGTCGCGCGCGCGAACAATACGCGCCACGTGAACGGTTAATATCGACGATCGACGTTTGCGGCGTCTCTGTCTGCGCGGTCGATCCGCCGGCACGGCGACGAAAAACACGATCCGCCGGGGTATCGCGGTAATGATGTTCGGGGGCACCGCGAGAATCCCGACGAAACGGACGGGACGCGCGTTCGCGGTTTTATTATTGGTTTTTTTTTTTTTTCGAAAAACACGCCGCGGACTCAATACAATACGGATCGTTATTTATATTTCGCGCGAATCTCGCGGTGTTCATCGTTTCACTGTCGCCGGCCGTTATATTTCGCGCGTTGAGGTTCGGCGGTTGAATCCTCGCCCCCGCCGCACGACGCGGTCCACTTGACGAATACGAAACGCGAGCGATCCGCCGTTGGAACGCGCGTGGCATAATCCGGCCGAGTGTTACGCGACGGTATCGTCTAGAAATTGGCCGGCTTTTTTTTTTTTTTTTTTCTAAGCTTTCGCGTAACATTACCGTTATCCTCGCGCGGATTCGGGTCGCGTGGAGAACACGATCGTTTCATTCGCGATTCTTTTAGCGTTTCATTCTCGGGTCCCTACCCCCACTACCCTCCCGCCGTCGAAAAGTCCCGGGCGCGCGCGGGTACGGTCGGGATTTCGGTTATTGGTTCGGTCGGGAGGGGGGGGGGGGAATGGGGGGGGACGCCGCGCGAAATTTCCGGGGCGTTCCNGGGATTTCGGTTATTGGTTCGGTCGGGAGGGGGGGGGGTGAATGGGGGGGGACGCCGCGCGAAATTTCCGGGGCGTTCCGAATCCCGAGGACCAAAGACCCTCCCCCGACCCCCGGGCAGCGTTGTTTCATGCGTTGTATTTAATAACGGTCGCGAATAACATAATACGTGGACCCGCACGCGTCGGAACCGTTGCTGACCTTCAAACCCCGCGCCGCACTGTTACATTAAATCGTACGCGCGTCTCCGTAGCCCGCGGCCGAGTTCCGAAAATATCGTCGGCCCTCGGGTTCTATATCGCCGCCGTCGCGGACTAAAAAAAAAAAGCATATCATAGCGTGCAGCGACCGCGCGACGGGCGTAAAACGGGATAAACGAGAAAAAACGTTTATCAGCAAACCTACCGATGGCGTTTTTCGGGACCGTAAGGTACTTCCGGCCGTGGCTTGCCAGCGCGGCGGTGTTATTGCGCAGGCGGGAGGAACGGCAAAGACTCATTGGCTAAAAAATCAGGCAAACGAAAATTCGTCCGAGGCGTGTGCAGCGCACGTTGAAATATTGTTTTCGAATTGTTTGCGCAGAATTTTTTTCCGGCTCCCGGTTTCGCGTACGGTTTTCAGCGGCTCCTCGGCGATTCGCGTACACGAATTCCACGCTACAAACATTGTGTGTTTTATGCATTGTATGTATGCAAACGGTCGATTTTTTCTTCCGAGTCGTCGGTTAGGTTACGCCGCGGTCGCTCGGCGATCGACGTCCGCGACCGATTGCGAGCGTACACGGGGCATCCGCGGGTGTAGTTTTTCCGAGATACTCGCGTAAAAGCCGACCGCGAAAACCGCGGCAAAGACTATGGAGAACGGCTCGCGTTACACGTATCACCGCGCATTACTGTTGTCGTGTCCGGGGTCCGATGCGCGTTACGTGCGTTTATAATTTGTGCGTTATACACAGAGCGTGTTTCGTTTCCCCGTCAAATCCGCTCGACATCGCGACACTATCGGCGAAAACTCTATTACAACGAGCTGACCGCGGCCAGGTCTCCGGACATTTCCCCCTCCCCCCTCACATCCCCCCCGTGACGAGTTTTCATCCGTCGTGTGCCGACCGTACAGGCACGTGTACGACGTACGTATACCGCTGCAGCGACCCGTTTGTTGTTGACCGCGCGTTTCATATTTGCACGACTCCGAGAGTCGGTTTTCTGTCCGAATTCGTCGGAATCCTCGCAAAAAAATATATCAGTATGCGCGCTACTGCGCAGCAGAATATATACACATGGATATGTATATTGTCGCGTAAAAAAACGACGCATTCCGCAAGTCCGCGACCCGGATGTCGCTCGCGCGTATATTTACTTGCCGAGACGATTTTGTTTTTTTTTTTTTCTCCGGCTTTCTACGCTCATCCGGAATTCAACGCGCGGGCATATGCCGACATTGTAACGCAATAAAGGCCCATAATATCCGCGATATCGTCGCGATTTTTCTTTTCGCGAGAGTATTCGAAAAAAAAAAAAATAAAAATAATAAATAAATAGACCTATTCGTGCAGGTACCGAACGGACGCGTTAATTTCTTCTTTTTCCCGCTCCCATTTCAAACGAACGATACCCGTGTTCGGCCGACGGCAGTTAATAAAAATTAATTTGCGAATCGAACCGTACGGGGTTAATAGTTTAATATTCGAACATTAGAATTCGATTTCGATTAAACCGTCGGCGCAATACCGCGACAATTTCGCGGCGGCAACAGTCGCGGCGGCGTTATTGTGCGGCATAAAATATTAGCCGTCGGTGTTTCAAGTGGGCGCGTGGGAGGCGAATACCCACCAGCGAATCAGCGCCCTCCCCCGCGAGTTTCCGTAAACCGCGACCGCGGCCAGCGATGGCGGATCCCCGTAGGCTTCGTACAGGGAGACTGCGCGAAAGTTTTTACATCCGCGAGTGATTAATTTTTTCACAACGCATACGAGCGATTTTCGGGAGAGAAAAGCGGAGCGGACCGACGAACTGTATTAAACTGTGTGCTGTGACCGTTTTTTTTTTTTTTTTTCTCGTCGTTTTATCCGTGTTCTGTCTGCGGACGAATTTTCAAACCGGAAACCTGCGTGCAATCGACGAATAATTAATATAGCGCGACGTTTCTCATCGGCGCTCGCGGACAGCGCGGTCCCCGCCGCAGTATCGCCGCTCTTTTTTTTGTTTTTTTCTTATTCTACGCTTGGCTTTGTTTCGGGCGTAATAACGCGGACAATAATAATGTTGTTACCCGGTAACTGTACCATTCTTGTCGGCAAAGCAGTCCGATTCGTGCCGGAAACCGCGCGTACAAATACCGGCCCCTGCGGAAAGTCCGCGGGGGAAGAGACGGAGTTACCGATAACCGACGCGTGTAATGTTTCGGAAACGCGCGAGCGGCGAAAAAAAAATTCCGCGCCGTCCACCTCACCTAACCTAACCTAATATTTTCCTGTCCGCGAGACGCGCGCGAACCGAACGTAGTTTTTCGTTCCCGCGCGACGACGGCATGCACGGCCGACAACACAATAATCGCACGTTTCCGATTTACGAATTATGATTGCCGTTATTGTTATCAGCGGCGGGCGCGAGCGCGGGACGGTTAACAGTACGGAAAATAAAAAATCGCGTCGTTACGGTGAAAAATAAAAATAAATAATACACCGGTCCGCAGTCGATTCCGTTGACGATAATTAATTAAAACGGCAACACGAACGCGCAATACGAACGCAATGACTGTACGTTTCGGTTTCTCGTGTCACAATCTCGAATCGTTCGTTTAAATTGAAAAATCTCTGCGGAATTTTCGTAGAATTTTGTTTCCCAGCCGCGATATTCCATGCCGCATATGCATATATTTCTAGGTTTTTTTTTTTTTTCTGAAATGTAAACAAAAAAAAAAGTAAAGTAAATAATAAATACTTGCGTACGTTTTCTTATTCGCTATTTACTCGCTACGTTTTTACGGCACATTATCGTTAGCGGGGTGCGAGTGGGTTTTTAGCACAGCACCCACATAAATAACACTAAATATCCTATCCGCGCATTTCGCGACGTGAACAAGCCGAACGAAACACTGCGGATCACCTACCGGACAACGCACACTAATAACAATAATAACGATTTTTTTTTTCATAAAAAAATTCGCAAACGAAACGCGCAGTCGCTTACTATTGGTTAGGGTGTTAACGGCGGGGCGCTGTCGAGGCATCGGGCCCCGCGGGCCCGCGACGTGTCTGTATAATTTTAGCATTCCCCACCCCCCCTCGCCATAGACGGCCGGTCTGGTTCAAGAGGGGCTCGCGGACGGGGGAAAAAGGGGGCACGACCGTTACACCGTAACGCGAATCAAAAGCGTTTCGCCGCGGGCGGGTTTTCCGTTCAGCGAGCTCGCCCGTGCCGATAATTATTGTCTAGCGTTCGGTTTATGGGGTTTTTTTTTTTTTTCTCTCGATCGTGCGGCCGGTCATTTTTAGCGCGACGAAATCCGAGCCCGGATTATCGTTATTTTATCGTCGTCTTTGTCGTTGCCGTTGCCGTTGCCGTTGCTGTCGCGTCGGGCCGCGCGCATACGGTTCTCTCGCCGAGATCCGCCGTCTCGATAACGACACGATAATTTATAATATCATTACGGCCGACCGATCGTTATCGTTGTTATTATTATTATTATTATGTTATTACGACGATAATAAACGCGCGCGCCGCCGCCGCCGCTCACGTTATTATATTACACGGATATTTTATTTACGCATTATTATTATTATTATTATTATAAGCGGCGGCGGCGGGGGGGAGGGGGTGCGGCGGTTTTCGACAGCGGCGGCCGGACCGCGCGGCGGGCGGTCCGGCGGTGGCGCGATTACACACGATAATAATATTATGTGCGCGACGACAGGACGGCGCGTTAATATTATTAATAACAATGTTATTACCATTGTTGTTATTAAAACGGCGCGCGGCCGCACGTATACCGCGCGCGTTCCGCGTGCGCGGGCCCGCCGCGGTCTCCTCGCCACGCACATATTCGCCGGCGGCGGCCTTCGGCTGTACCGCGGCCGCGGTATCGTTGAGATAATAATAATAATAATAATATTATTGTTATTGTCATTGTTATTGTCATTGTGTTGTTATTGCGCCTGTACCGGCGGGCGAACCGGGAGGCTTGTCGGCGAGTCGCGAACCTTCCGACGGCGCGGGGCCGCGGTCTCGCGCCGCGTATTATGTGCGAACCCCGGCGCGGTAGTTTTTTTATAAATTACGCGCGCGTGACCGTCTCTGTGCGTCGTACGCGAATCGTGACCGGGGGCGATCGCGGGACCGCGATAGGTTTTTAGTCCGTCCAAAACCGTTTCAGAGCGCTGCGCGCCCTACTATTCGTACGTATTTCTGTAACCGCCGTAGACTACGTTCGGCGTACGAACCCGTTCCGGCGCGGGGCGGCCCCGAGGACGGAAACACGCGAGATGACAAATGGAGCGTTTTAATTGGCTGCCGTCCTCGGAGTGCGAATTCGCCGTCTTACGCACTGTCTGGGCTTTATGTATTCTAACGTCGACCCGTCCCACTCGACCCGTTCGGACACCGACCACGAATCCCGGTCCTCGGGGCGCGAATGTTCCGTCTGTACAAAGTCCATACGGGATACACGGCGATTCGCGCTGTCCAGACGTATGACGCCGAGGTTCTTCTCGTTCCGTACGTCGCCCCGGAACTCGACGCCGACCTCGCACACGTCGTCCTTTTCAATCGGGTCCGACCGCACAGAATCTTTCTCCGTCTTATTCCTCTACGCCTCCCCCACCACCCCTTGCGTGCGCGGACCGCGTCAGTAGTGCGGTTTCTCTCGTTTGATACGTTGTCGAAGTCACGTCCGAGCCACCAGCAGCTCTCTTGCAGTACGCACTCGTTTATCCGACCGGCACACCGGACCCCGTGCTCCGGACTCCCCGCGTTCCTATGTATAGGCGTACCCATACCGATAACCGTATTGTTATTATTATTACGTGACCCGCATCCGGGTGAAAACGGATTTTCACCCGATCGTAATGTTTTGTTTATTATTATTATAGATCGTCTCGCGTTTTATTGGCGTTCACTACATATTATATTACACTCCGTGCGGCGGCGAAAACCTAATTACATCGAAGCGACGCCGAACAATAATGTTCGGCGCGTGTATAATAATATGCTCGTGTATGCGTTATTATCATTATCATTATATACACCGTGTCATTCCGTGATTGGATTTTCGCCGTCGCGCGCCGTGCGAGCGGTTGCGAAAAAACGTCGCGGTACGACCCTGACACACCTATACGATACATACGCGCGTGTATAATATCGTGTGCGTATACGACGTACGGTAGAAAGAGAGAGAGAGAGAGAGAGAGAGAGAGAGAAAAAATCAATCGAAAAAAAAAAAACCGTCGCGCGGAAAAAACGTTACTTTTTATTTACGTTTTTTTTTTTTTTTTTTTTTTTTTCCCCCCCATACATTTCCAGTAATATCTTCTCGGCGAGCGGCCAGCGCGCGATTTTTCGCGTCCGCGACCCGGGTGTAATCGCGTGCGCCCACAGGGTACTACGGGAGCGGGAGGCTGTGAGGGGGCCGATTTATGTACGAAACGAAAATACGAAAAAAAAAAAAAAAAAAAAACCATCGAAATAAATCAAAAATAAGCGGACGTCTCGAAGCGCGGCGCACCAGGGCCGAAGGCCGGATATAATAATATTATCGTTATCTTCGAGGTATTTTTTTTTTTTTCTTTACGTGTACCGGGTGTGCGCGTCGCGCGGGATCTCGTCGGGTTTTTATTATCATTACACATTATATACCGGGTATCGCGGTGACCCACATAATATAACCGAGAGCATTGTTGTTGTGTATTATATTATATATATGTATACCGCAAATATATTATATGTATATATGCACGATAATAATAATAATATTTTATATAGGCGCGGCGGAAATCGTTATTCGGTCGGTTTTTGTGGGGAAAAAAAAAAAAAAAAATAGGTAAAAAAAAAGAGAGATCGCCGACGCGCATACACGCGGTTTAGCGGTGTACCACTACGACGGTTGTATCATATTTAGGTGTATGAGTGCGCGCGCGTATACACCGCGCTGCGCATTGCGTACGAGACGCGCGCGGGTACCGAACGGATCTGACGTCGTCAGAGAGGACCGCGCGAGCTATTATTATTATTATTTTTTTTTTTTTCATTCCTTCTCCGTTTATTTGTTTTGTTTTTGTTGTTTTGTTTCCCTCCCCCCCTCCACCCGAATCGCTCTCGTCCGTCCGTCCGCCGGCCGCGGCCACGGCTACGGCGACGGCGACGGCGACGGCGACGGCGACGACGACGACGGCGGCGACGCGACGACGGTTTGCCGGTACCGTTAACCAATAGCCGAGCCCGCGGCCGCCTCCCGTCGGTACCCGCGCGCGCGCAACGACGCTGGAAATTAGCAACGCCTCTGCGCCGGTCGCGGCGGTCGGACGGCGCGGGGGCGAGGTCGCGGCGGAGGGCGCCGCGGTCGCACGCACGCGGGCGCGCGCACGCACACCGGCCGCTCGTCATAGGCTTTCGTCGGTTTTTACCCGTGGCCGGCGGCCGCGGATTTTATCCGGCGACCGGTAAGCGAGCTCGGCGCGTGTTTCGGCGTTAGCGGGGAAAATATAATATAGAAAAAAAAAAAAAAAAAAGGAAAAGAGAAACGGCGATTTATAATATTTGTTTTATTCGCGCGCGTGATAATTTACAATAATATATTACGGTCGCCCGCGGCTATCTGTCGAGAGAAAAAAACAAAAAAAAAACAGCAACAAATTCTATTACGAGCATCGTATGCTTTTGTACGCGCGTCTATTATGCGCCGGGAGTAGCCGGGGCCGCTGTAGAGATTTTATACAGATATTCATCTGTACGCCGTCGACGGAATAACAATAAGAGATCAGAATATTATAACAATAGAGTCGCGCCGGTTTTGTTTCGATATGCGGATGAGCTGTGCAGTGTTATATAGGCCGCATTCGGGGCAGAACATATTAATATTATTATTATTATTATTATTATTATTATTCCGTAATACACGTTAAAAAAGACGATACATACCACAAATTCGTCGAGAGTCACCGGTCGTAAATTGTGATGGCAACCCATTTTGGTACGGGTTACGATTCGTAGTGACCACCGGTGAGGCGGTGAAGATATTCGTCTAACTCACGTCCTTTGTAGATGACTTAGCCCCTCCTATTGTTGCGAAATAATAAAAAGATACCCGTTTCGTACGATATGGACAACAAAACAATGACAGCAACAACATCTTAAACGGATACGAAAATAATGATAAGTGTGAACAAGACGTTTCGCCGGGGAGAAACAACAATTCTGGATGGGACGATGCAAAAAGTCACCGGTAGTCACCTCACCGCCTATCCGAGACGGTCACACAATTTCGTGACCGTTTCGTAACCAGTGCGACCGGCGAGACTTAACAAACTTCATTATTTCGTAACCGATTCCAATTTTTAGGGGATATAGTCACTGGTTACTCCCAACGAATTTGTGGATATAGTCGAAAGTATTATACAAGGTTATATTATGCACGATCGATAGTAATAATATTATATTGTATTTATATAGGCGAACGGATATTGTATAATAAATAGATGTGCGAATATTATCCGAGTTTTAAAACTGTATCGGGTATTTATATGATGCTATAAAGTTTATAATGTATACAGTATACAATATACATAGGTATGTGTACTTAAAAACCCGAGCTGCAGAACCCATACAGGAGGATGGGGTCGTTTTGGCCGATCGCGATCGTCGAAAATGCGTAAGTATGCGGTCCCGGGGTTACGACACGACCGAGCATAAAACATCTTTTTTTTTTTTTTACGACGCGATTGAGCAGATTTGTGGCGTACTATTAAGGACATATATGGTAATACGGTACAGAAAGCCTACACGATTGAGCATAAAAAAAAAAAACTCTAAACAATATATGCCGCCATTTTCATTTTTGAACTGTTATAAATTGTACAATAAATATCAATTTACATGCAATATTATAATAATATAAAAAAAAAAAAAACCTATAAGAGTTAAAAAATAACACGATTTAACGGTTAATAGCAATAATAATAAATAATAGCAATAAAAACAATAAAATATTCATACTTATTAGTTACAGTTTGTCTATCGTGAAATTACAATAATATAATTTTTATAATAATTTTGGAAATGCTACTCATTAGTATTAATAACAATAATATTTATTGGTCATAATTAATCTGTAGATTCATTTTATTATAATAAAATAATATCGAGTATAATAATGACCCAACTCACCATTGAGGGTTGGTGAAATTGGAGTACTAATAATAAAATTAATCAATAATTAAGTTAATATGATATTATCTAATATTAATATTATTTCCTTATTTTTTGTAATTGATTTTAGATTCTGAGTAGAGCGAAAAAGCTTATAGTTTTACAACGATGTTTATTTTTTTTCGTCTGTGCGCGACTTTCTACCAGAAGACTTGCTCAGATTTCTACGTGTAGCATTTTTTCTGAAAGGAAATCGGCGTGGGGAGGTACTTTCCCCCCACACCAAGAGGTCATTCTTCGATTTTCTCATCGCATTTGAAAAATCGGTACAAAATTAAATAAATATTTTAAAATAAAATATATAAAGCCTATTTAATTATTTTACTATAAAATGACATTTATATTGTTGACAAAGCATTGCTATCAACTGAACTCCGTTCAGAATCGTTTTTTCGTGAGGAATGGTTTATTGTTGCTTACAGGTATACATTAAATTGTCTATAACAGCGGCCGCAACCGTCCCCATTATCCTAGGGCGTCTTTTTTTACTATTCTATGTAAGAATAATATAGAATAGTAAAAATAAAATATAAAAATAAGGAAATAATATTATAATATAAATGGTATTAATGGCTAAGTACAAGTATCAAAACATAATTTATTAACTAGGTTCACATCATGTACTAGTGCTCTTAAATGTTAGGGATATGGTTTAGCCGTCATAAGTGTGTTGTGTATATTTGTGTGTGTTGTTTACTATAATCGACTATAACGGATAAAACTAATATTTATTGATATCGATAAAACTGTGCCGCTCGTGGCTCGTTCGAGTTTAGTATATCGTAATAATATATGTGAAAATAATAAATTACGAAATTTCGGCAACGTGAATGTTATACAACGTCGTCGCATAAAATATTCTCTGCTCAATCGTGTTTTTAACGGCTAACCCCGCCGTAAAAATATTCGGGTCTGAGTGTGCTCCGGTTAATTCGCAGTCGGCCATCTTGTCGCCCGAACGGCTCAATTAAATTACGGAAATCCGAAAAAAGACTGTCGGTAATATTATTAGGAATGAGCGTCGGCATGAGTCTATATTAGCAATATCGGAAAATCGGTTAACGGTTTTTTTTTTTTTTAACCTCGGACCCGATATTTTCCGAAAAAAAAAAAGTGCTCAGTTTAATAAACACACATTACTACAACTTCGTAAAATAATAATAATTTATATATATATATATTTAAAACATATCGGAAAAAAGTCATATCGGTTCACCGATAAATATTATGCACTACGACAATATACACGGCGACACAACTGCTGCAACAGACGACCGACAAACGACGAAACAATGGTGCACATTTCTACCGTTTTCGATTTCGATTTTTATCGCCCGCAGTATTTTACCGGCCCGGCCGGACGGCTGTGTACGGTAAGTATATAAATACGAATATGATACATAAGCGAAACTAGAAAATTTTACTAGAACAGGCCAAATGATAAATGTTAAAAAAAAACTGTAGGAAATTTTATAGATGCATAAATTAAGTTTTTAATTTCAAATTTTTTTCAAGTCAGTACTTGTGTTATCCAGTCAGTATTAGCTCGGGCCATGGCCAGACTCGCCCGACCCGTAGTGCACTACGTATATTACGTATAATAAGGTATACAAACGTCCCGTCGTGCGGTAGTTTTTACTCACTGCACTTTGCCGTGTTCGAATACCAGTGCAGCACAATATGTACACACACGCGGACTGTTCGAAATTGATAGAGAGAAAGAGAAAACGAGGACCGGAAACGCGACCGATTTAAATCGCGGAGTTGCCGCGCGGCGCCCGTTTCCATCATCATTTTCGCCCCTCGCGCGGCGCCGGTAAAAACGGATTGCGGTAAAAACGGGTAAGTATCGCCGGGCCAATCGTCGAGTGTTTGCCGTCGTCGCGCCCACCGCCGCGAACTTCCGCGAGCCCCGCGGGAAACAAACCGCGGGCGGGACGCGAATGTTTAAGCTCTTAATTCGCCGCGTAAAACACGCGTGGGGGCGGGTGGTGCGCGGCTGTTCGGTTATATTTCGATAGCCGCGGGCCGTTGTTTGTACACGAGCGGTTGCTTTTTTTTTTTTTCTTTCTGTTCGGCCGAAATATCCGGTACGGAATTTCGTACAATACCTTTCATAATCGTACTCGCACGATACAATATATTATATTACAATATAGTCTCGGAACCGTCACTAGCAGAACGACACTTGCGGCGGCTCCGCCGACGACGAAATCCGTCACAGACACGGTACTCACGCAGCCATCCCGCATCGTAACGGTACGTCTATGCGTACATTGATGGGCACTCGAACGTTCCTCTCAGACGGGAAAAGTTCGGTGAACGTATATTTTATGAAAAAAAAAATAAAATACCATTCGACTTTCTGACTGCGCGCGTAGCGGCTCGACGCGACGCTTCGAAGGAGCGGAAATTTGAAATTTACGTTTGTATACTTTACCTGTGTATCGCGAGAATAAAAAAAAAATGCATAACTAAACATATGAGATTAGCTATTATCCAAATGTACAAATATTATCCGCCGAACGGGTTTATTCGCAAGTACGGAAAAAAAGCGGGGGGTTTTTTCCTCGAAAATAATTACGATTAACGCGTACGAATCACTTTAAGGAAAACACCGCGGAGTCGGACGAAATGGCAGTGTACACATGCACATAACGGGTGAACCGCGCAAGAGCGCAAATGCACGGGCCGAGTCGAGTCGAGTCCGGGGAACCGAAGGCGACGGCGGACTTCGAAGCATATCGGAAGAAAAAATAAGCCCCGTGCGCGAACGTATACCCGTATTGAATATTATCTATCTCTATCTATCTCTCTCTATCTCTATCTCTCTCTCTATCTCTCTCTCTCTCTCTAACTCTCTCTCTATATCTCTCTTTCTCTCTCTCTCTCTGTATACATATGGGTAGTATTGTAAATGGCGCGCGCGCCGCCAAAGTTTACGACAAACACAAAAATACGATCCGCCGCGGTCGTAACGGTCGCGGGACGACACAGAATATTCGGCGACCGCGCTGTGTGCATCGCGCGCGCGTAGGTATATAAATATACAACGTGCGTTACGTTAATAATGGTGTACGATACTCGCGCGCCGCCGTCCGTTAACGAAATTTCCCCCCTTCCGGGCCGCGAATAAATAAAACGTAAACCGTCGGTTGGCGGTAGCGAGACGACGCGTCCCCTCGGGTACGTAATGTACATACGTATATATATATATACGTGTATATACATGAAATGTATGCGTGCGTGCGTGCGTGTATAGTCGCGGTAGGGTGGGGGGACGGGCGTCGCGCACCCCAGCAAACTAGTTGTGTCGCGCCGGCGGAGGCCCGCTTCCCCTTTTCGTCCGTTTTGCAAGCCGCGGCCGCGGCGAACGGGTTCCGACGTGATCGTTTTTTATGCACTCTCGCGCAAACGATCGTTATAATAATAATAATAACAATACATTATATAGGTATATATGAGCGCGGAGAACTGCCGCCTCCCTCTCCGCGCCGCCGCGCGCCGTTTCTAACCTAAAAATATTATTATACGCACGTTCGTTCCTTTCTCTCGGATCGCACCGCCGCCGCCGCCACCGCCATCGCCACCAACCCCCCCTTCCCGAAAAAAAGGCAACCGTCGTCGCGTTACCCCGTATAGGCAGGTATAAACCTTCCGAAACTGCACCCGGTATCTATGATGATAATATGTTCGCCCGACAAACCGATACCAATACGTATCGAATACAATATTATTATTATGATGATTATGATAATTTTTTTGATAAAAAAAAAAAAAAAAACCGATTGAAATATCATATCAACAAAACGGACAACCACACTTCGCAACACTGTTGTATAGTTGAGAAGTTGGTAAGATAGAATATATAATAGAGTGGAATTTAATTCATATCTGTATACAATTAATTAATTAATTAATTGCTAACGGAAAACGATTCTGAGGGGAGCCCGGTCAATAGCAGTATATTGCTTTTTCAATAATATTGCAGTTCGTTGTCACGACAACAACGATTGTTAAAAAAAAAACGATTATTAAAATACCTCATAAAAACTTAATTATAACGAAAAATAAATAAAAACGGTTACCAATTTTAATTTTACCTTGTTTTTAATATTTTAATCTTTTTTAACCTAAAGTACGAACTATAGAGCCAAAATACAACAGAAAAAGTATTTCGTCATATTTCGATTGGAGCAAGATTTTCAGGAGAAAAGTTATTAGCAGACAGGCAAAAATAAACATCATAATAGTAAAAGATCCCTCGCTACAATCAG